AGCAATTATAATCCTGTTCATCCATCCATCCAAAATTAGTAACAAATTAAATACAAGAAAAAGAGTTCGCTTTCTCTCTAAGCAGGAAAGAAAACCATCTGACTGCAAGTAGCATACATCAAAAGAGAAGGATAAAGGACAAGCATACATTGAATAAAATGGCGTAAGAACCCTCTGTTTGTAATTCATGCCTGTCAGAGGCTTCAAAAACATTGCTTTTGTCCTCAGCTGAATTTTGAAGGACACAAACCAGAGATTCCCACATATTTCTACCAAGTGAGTCACCAACAAAAACTACACGCTTCCCTCTCAATAATTCCAGCATATGCTTGCCATTCAACCTGCAACACAAGTCCACCCAAAACCAATCTGACTACAGAAAAAGAAAAATAAAATAAAATAGACAAGTACAAAAAACGATCACATATGAATATGAAGACACCCTGCACAGCTTTTGCACTCCTTAACATGGTCAAGAAACCAAGTCTCAATGTGTAACTAATACCAAAATAGATAGAAATTAGCACGATTTCATTCACATATAAATGTATACACAAATGTAAATCTAAATACCGCACTTGGTAAATTACCTTGGCATGTTGCATCCACTGGGTTGCCATCTGTATTTCTCATACCCCCTATCATGCCTACCATTAACAAAGCAATTGAAAGACTCATCAATATAAGGACAAGAACCTGGGGCATAAAGAGGGTAAGAATCATCTCTCACCCATTTACCATCAAATATTCTACAATGACTCATTATATCCACAAAATTCCCCTTTCTCAACTTCTCAAGAAATTCATCACTGCTTCCATCCAGTGTCACATTGCTAGACACCCTCCCCTTCTCTAAAATCCCTTCCTTTAATGCTTTTCCGCTTTCTCTAATATCCAAAGTCTGAGAAGAACTGCCAGGACTATTGGTTGCATTAGCATTTAAACTTTGTGATGTGTGATTGGGTTCTTGGGAGAAAGTAACAGTATGAGTGTTACCCTTTAAAGAAATCTTTGACCCTCCACTGTTGACTTCACTGGAAAAGGACTCATCTTTTCCACCAAAATCCTCACTTTCAGGAGAAATCTGAAACGGGCCTCCACTGTTATTTTCACTTGACAAAGACCAATATTTTTTTCCATGAAATCTTTCAGTTTCCTGCGAAATCTGAAAAGGGTTGTGTTGGAGTGGAGAAGCAGGGAGTGGGTAGTAATTGGATTGGGAAGAGTTGGGGTGGAAGTGAGAGAAAAGAGAGGAAAAGTGGGATCTGTAAGAGGAAGTTTGGAGGAAAGTTTTGAGCCAAGGAGAGGAGTAAGAAGAAGGGTTGAGAAGTAACAAAGTGGTGAAACCAACAACAAATACAGAAGTGAAACTAAACGCAAAAGCCACTGTTTTCCCTGTTGCGAAAAGTGAGAATGTTGTTCTCTTTGTTTCTGTTTTAGTTGATGAAGGGTACTTTGCATCAGCCATTGCAAGGACCAGAAGAGGAAAGAGGCAGGGTGGAAGGCTTTCAGCTGTGCATCAAGATCAGTGTCTTTTATTTTGTATAATCCAATGCTAAAGTAAGTAAAAACCCGGTAAGAACTTGATGTAATTCTTGTAATTGCGACATGGAAATCTGGAAAAAAAAAATACCTGAGCTGCGACCAGGTGGAGGACTCTTGTTCTAATAGGGTAATGGTTCAACTGTATATGCTCTCCTTCCGCCTCCTCTATTATTGCCCTCCGTCTGATAATGCAGTTAAGACTTATTACTTAATATCCGGGTGATCCCAGGAACTTAAACCTGCCAGATGGTATATCCTACAGTTGAATGTAAAAAGTGCCAATTGGTATATCCCCGGATGTTAAGCCTGCCACACTATTAATTGTATGAAGTGCAAGAGCAAATGATCCTACAATTGTAAAACCTAGAGTTAGACCATGAAAAAGTAGACGTAAGCAGAGTCAAAGGCCAAGCCTCAACCAGAAAAGGGAAACAGCCATGCCAGGTTCCCTTAGTTATGGTTGGACAGCTAATAATAATTTTGTTGACAAATTAGGCAAGATTCCATGGATTTCATTGAAAAAACTCCATGCAATATACTTCTGAAATGCTTTCTACTATTATATTCAATATGGGTGACATGGGTAAGCCACTTGGGGATCCCAAGTGAAATACTTGGTATAATTAATTGTTGACCTTTGTGATTTGTATGCAGCAACACAAGATATTCTTTCCTTGAAAAATCTGAGTTGGATCCAACATCCAAGTCTATAGAAAACAGTTAGATTTCCCTTTCCTGCTTTGGTTTCTACATATTAAAGGAGGTTTTGAAAAATGTTTGTACTTTGTAATATATCAACAGATGAGCATTACTGTACAAGGAAGGATCTAATCTAACAAACCCAAAACTGATCTCCTATCAGTGTTTAGTTGGTTAGCTATAAATTATTGTAATTGTTTAGTTACATTGTAAATTGTTCTGCCCTCTCATTAATATATATATATATATATATTTCTTTAATCTCCTTGTACACAAATAAATTAATTGCATCTAGACTCGTGTTTGGTAGGCACTAGGATTTAGTTTCTTAATGCAGATGAAGGAGAAAAGATCATCTAGTTAAATAAAACCACTCGGAAGAACAAAGAAACACGAAAAAGATTTCTTCAACGAGACGGTTGTACAATCATTTCCTGATTTGTACATACCAAGTTGGGAAATTTTGGTGGTAGCCCCAGATCTTTTCTCATAAGAAAGTATAGAATTCATGACCAAAATTAGTCCAGATGTTTAGCTACCAGTCAAACACTTAATCACAATGTTGAAAGTATGGTTTGTACTGTTTGATTCTTTAGGCTTTATTAATTTTTACTGAGCTTTTTAGTCCTGTTTTAAGTTCCCCAAAGAGGGATCTTAACCATATATCTAACTGATATTTTTAGTATATTCCTACCAACTTCTGATTAGTTTCAACTTTATTAATTTACTCATTTTAAGAGCTGTGGTTGATTTCTGTCATTTCTTTAGGTTGCTTATCCCATTGTCTAAATGGTTATCCCCATTGAAAGAGTTTGTACATCTACCATCATTGTCTGTCTGATACATAAGCACTTGAAACCCTCTTCAGAAGAGTTAATTTCTGCAACCTGTGTCGAATTCGTTTTCCTCTAAAATATATGATTAATATGAATATTGATAAATAACTGCAATTGGCTTATGGTTCGCGGGAATCCCAAGGATCCATTGTTATTGATCACTTCAACACCGGTTGCTTCTCTCTAGATATGGACAATGGCGTGCAGCACAATGCGGATGATATTTCCAATGAGAAGGTCTGGTCTAGAAGTTTATTTGCTGGTGCAGACAGAAAGCAAACAATCCCAAACATGCCAAGGAAGAATCAAACTTGTAAGAAGATCCCTGTAAAAGAAACTACTTCCATCAAAATTTCCAAGGTAACTCTTCTGAAAGATCTTTTCTTTTAACATGTAAAATAGTTCTGATAATATAGCGGTGATGCAGGATTGTTTTTCTTTCATTCAGAGTTACATAAGAAAATCACCAAATTTGCCTACTACATCATAGTATTTAGAATTGTCTTATTATTATTCAGAGACTTTTCGGCATTCTTTTTCCTCTGAGCACTTTGTGTTTTAGCCAATTGTAGCAAAGTCAGGTTTGAATACTCACCATATTCTGTCTTTTGAAACGTAGCATGTGAATGGGAAGAAGATGATCAATGACTTTGTAAAAGAGCAAAAGATTAGTCAGGGAAGTTATGGAAAAGTGGTATGCGTATCATAATGGTTTCTGGCTTGGTTAGATGCTTTTTTGCATAAGCAGTGATAATCGATCTGCTGACTCGGTGCAGGTATTGTATCGAAACAACAATGATGGAACCCCATTTGCTATTAAGGTAGCTGTCATTCTTATCTACACCATAAGATACCATATCCAGTATTAATCTGTTCATTATTGCTTACTATTGCAAGTTACTTATCAAGCTGAGTTTCTTCTCTAGTATCAGAAAATTATCTGATATACATACAAGTAAGTTTTAGAAATCTTATTGAACATCATGCTATGTATATCTACTTGTCTGTTAGCAGTAGTTACATTGTTCTTATGTAGCCATGGACGGTTAATATCAAGATTTGCAGCATGGGACTAAATGAAATATCACTCCTCATTGATATCTGATCCGAGAAATTCTTAGCACTAACTAAATTTAACTATAATCTTGGATTAACATTAAGAAT